ATCACTATTGCAAGCAATGTCTGGCACAATCTTTGATGAGTTTGCAGTTCTTGTTGTTGTTGTTGGTGGTGGTGATGATGATGGTGGTGGTGGTGGTGGTGGCGGTGCTTCAACAGCCTCCTTTTTGCATTTAGTGGCAGTATGGATTAAACTGTCGATGAATCTCTATGTGGAAGGGCAACTGGTGATGTGGGAACAGCGAAACAACTCTGAAGCGGCCATCAGCGCTGCTGCTTGCAGTCAAGTGAGACACAACTATGCGCTGTAACAACTGATTTTCACACCTTGAACCAGTTTGTGCATGCACTGATGCAAGAAAAAAAAAAGTTGACTTTACTTTATGGCCTTTGGTTGGAAGTGCTTCCGGTCAAGGTGACTCTCAAACGCTACCACTTTTTTGTCTACTAAGCTGACAGCCGCCATTTTACGGGGTCCCAATCCCATCATCGCAACTGCCTTTGTCGACTGTGACCTATTGGACCTCGAGAAGATTCGTGTGGACAATGAAGAGGGAATTAGAGTTACTCTGCTGCTCAAATTCGATCCCGGTAACAATCCAAAGGCCTTTCAAGAAGCGGAGGTGAGACGACACATCGAATCGTCGCCATTCAACATTGACTTCGACGCCGATGAGACCATCTCTATTAACAGTAAGTCCACTTATCCTCCTGAGAGCTCGAATTTGCTGTCTTGGCTCAACATCCGGGCTCTCTGATGAAGGCGCATTGTATTCAAAAAGGGCAACTAATTATTGCTCATTTTTTTGTGCCTAGACTTTGATGTCTGTAAAGAGAATAAACACGATTGTTCACCGTCGGCAAATTGCAACTGGGACGGAGTTACTTACACCTGTGAATGCAACCGATTCTTCACCGACGGTGTTGTAATGGGAAAACTTTTGCCTGGTCGAGAATGTTACCGTGAGTTTCCATCTCGCCTTCTCATTGAATCAAGCACTTTACAGTGAGATTTCGAGATTATCGTTACTTGACACAGCACAGGTTTCAGACGGTCGTTCCAACATCACTTGCGTTGGTAGATTGGAGAGGTCAAGAGAGCCCTCACTATCTATGGAGACATATCCAAAGGGATTACATGTTGAGAGGAAAGGGGAGGAGACTTGCATAGCCCGCCACTACACCATAATTGGATATGCTTGATCCCTCTTGGCGGTTCCACTAAAAATGGAATATCTTCCAGTCTTTGAACTCTATTGGAGGGACGATGCAATGTGTTAGCCATCGCATATAACGAAGGGCGAGTTTTAGAAGTCCTTCCACCTAATTCCCACCTCATCATTCTCCCA